CTCTTCAACTCAAGGCGAGTGCTCTACCACTTGAGCTACAGCGCCACTTCCTCCAGGAAGCCTCTTTTGATCATCTTAAGGTAGCTGCACCCAAGGTTGTGGTTGAGGCAGAACTTAAATATCTCCATTTCTCCATTTTTTTGTTTCATAGTGTTTGCCACTGTTTGGATTGGGGGGGTCATGGGGCACGAAATATGGGCCTCAGCACTCTCCCTCAGCTCTTCAGCTCAAGGCTAGCACTCTACCACTTGAGCCACAGTGCCACTTCCCACTTTTTCTCCTGATGTGATGCTGAGGAATCGAACCCAGGGTCTCAAGCACTCTACCACTGAGCCAGCTTCCAAGCCTGTTTGGATTTTTTAACTGTTCTTTGTCAGTTAGTATCCTCATCTAGAACATCAGCTCTATGAAAATGAAGTTTTCATACATTTTAATTCCAGGCCATTCCTAGACATTGAAACAGAGCTTGGCTCCAAGTTTTCCTTCATTACATAGTTGATGCAGGGCTGGGAAGGTGGCTCAGTGTTAGAGCACTTGCCTTGCATGATTGAGGCCCTGGGTTTGATTCCTCAGCACCACATAAGCAAAAAGAAAAAAGCCGGAAGTGGCGCTGTGGCTCAAGTGGTAGAGCGCTAGCCTTGAGCTGAAGAGCTGAGGGATAGCGCCCAGGCACAGAGTTCAGGCACCACGACCAGACCATAAAATCAATCAATCAATAAATAAATAAATATTTGATGCATCATTGCCAAAGATGGTGGATACCGATGGCATGAACTTTCATAAAATGGTTGAGCATGCTGGCATCAGTTTACCTCTTTGTCTGACAATGAAGTTAATATACTATCTCTTTCAGAATGTAATGGGAGTCATTATAATCAATGGAGAGGCTCAAGTCTTTACCAATCATTGTGACACAAATATTAGAATCTATGGGCAGGGAGCCATTTGAAAGTGGTAATCACAAAATAATGGAGAAAGAAATTTATTTATGAACCTCCTGAGATCTGAGAAAGTGGGCAGAAATAAAATACTCCCATTTGCAATCTAAACATTCATAAACCCAGTTCACACTAAATAAAATTGCACTAACATTTTAACTGACATCAATAGACATTTTGTTAAGTGTTTTGTTTTTTGAGCTCATTTATATATCTATGGTAAGAAGACTCCCTTCCATTTGAATATTTTAGTGGATATACTTTTCAAATGAATGTCAGTGCTACCTTCTGTGATATCACCATGGACAGAAGCCTTTTGTTGATAACATGGGGGTATCATTATAAGCTTACACTATTATATCTGAGTAGGAAATAACAATGTGCTGTGAAATTATAAAGGCAAACTTTCATGTGCATCATACTGCTTTTTTTCCTCCTCTCTCCTCTGTTATGAATCCCTATGTAGGACACCCGGTTGGTTCCACATTGGCTCCTAAGGATTTGACAGGACCCGCAAAAATAAGGGAATGGGTGGGGAAACAGGGGGAAGATATTGAAGGGATGACACAGATCAAGATGCACTGTAGACATGAATTGCTTGGTTTTTGGTTTTGATTTTTTTGTTTTGTTTTGTTTTGGTCATGGGCCTTGAACTCTGGGCCTGGGGTGCTGTCCTTCAGCTCTTCAGCTCAAGGCTAGTGCCCTCCCACTTAAGCCAAAGCACCACTCCTGGCTTTTTTCTGCTTATATGGTGCTGAGGAATTGAACCCAGGGCCTCATGTGAGTGAGGCAAGCAGTCTTCCACTGAGCCACCTTCCCAGCCCCGAATTGCTTGTTCTGAATTCCAAACATTCACTACATAATCTAAAGATTAAGAAAACTGAGGTCAGGGGTGGTGAGAATTGTGAAATGGGAGACATGGTTCAAAAGACACTGCACCCAGGAACTGCTCTGCTGCATGGCCGCATCTCTGTACAATAACCTAACTAAAACACACATAGACACAGACACAGACACACACACAGACAGACAGACAGACAGACACACACACACACACACACACACACACACACACACTCTAATAGTGAAAACGAGAATGAAAAACTTAAACCTGGGAAAAAGGGGTACAGTCACTTTAGAGGTTGATTTTAAGGGGTGCCCCTAAATTTCTGAACTGGGTGATTGCCCACCTTGAAAGAATGAACTTGTGTCTCTGGGGGTTTGGGTTTTTAATGCAGGACATGCAGTACACAGAAAGGATCCCCCAGTTAACTAGGAACCACCTTCTGTTCCGCTGCCCTGTTCACCTGCTGCCAGCACCAATAAGCTGGGGAAGAGGAGGACCAGCTAGCCTGCAGGGGCCCAGGGCACTGACCTGGAAGCTAAGACTGTGTTTGTGAGCTGGAGCCAGTGGCTCACCCCTGTAATTGAAGCTACTCAGGAGGCTGAGATCTGAGGATCTTAGTTCAAAACTAGCCGGGGCAGGAAAGTCCATGACATTAATCTTAAGCTAACCACCAGAAAACTGGAGTGGTGCTGTGGCTTACAGTGGTAGAACATGAGACTTGAGCAGAAGAGCTCCAGGACAGTGCCTAGGCCTTGACTTCAAGCCCCAGGACTGACAAGAAAAAAAAATCATCTTTGATGTTTGTGGAACTCAAATTCAAGGTCCCAGTTGTTTGAGTGTGTCTGGTTTTACAGGGCTCCAGCAGGTAGAAGAATTACTATATTGTTCTTTTTTTGACAGTCCTAGGGTTTGAACCCAGGGCCTGGGCAATGTCTCTGAGCTTGTCTCTGCTCAAGGTTAGCATTCTATTACTTAAGACACAGCGCCACATCCTGCTTTTGCTGTTTACTGAGGAACCAAACCCAGGTCTTCATGTATTCCAGGCAAACACGCTACCACTAAGCCACATTGAGATTCCTGAAGAATAATTAGTATAATAATAAGTATATTTATAATATTTTTATACTTATATCATTATATTTCATTTACTATTGTAGCATGTATATTTTATCTATTATATATAACATTTATATTTATTTGTATATTTACTGGATATTATATAATATATGATGTATGTATGTTATAGAATATAATATGTAACATATTAATACATTTTATAAAAATGTTTTATATCATTGCACTTATAGCATTAATATAGTAATTATATTTATAATTCTAATATTTTGTAATAATAATTATTATGCTGGAAGAAAAACTGGGGTGTCTCCAGAGGACAAGAGGTCCCTGAGAATTGAGAGGGGACCCACTGGGCTCCTGTGCTTCCTTCCCATGAGTGACCATCACTGCTTGTGTTGGTGTTTGTGTGTGTGTATATGTGCTTATGTTTGTGTCAGTGTCAGTACTGGGGCTTGAACTCAAGGCCCTGCCTATTGTGGCTGAGCTTTTGCTCAAGGCTGGTGCTCTATATTTGAGCCATAGCCCCACTTCTAGCTGTTTCCAGTGGGTATTTGGAGATAAGATCTCATGGATTTTCCTGCCAGGGCTAGTTTCAAACTACCATCCTCAGACCACACCCACCAGAGTCAGTAGGATTACAGGTGTGAGCCACCATTGCCTGGCCTGTGTGTTTTGTGCTGGTACTTGGGCTTGAACTTAGAGCCAGGGCTTTGAGTTTGTTGAGCTTGTTTTCTCAAAACCAGCACTTTGCCCCTTGAGCCATATCTCCACTTCAAGTTAAGTGTCTCAGACATTCTTGTCCAGAATAGCTTTGTACCAGGATCCTCAGACCTCAACATCATGAGTATCTAGTAATAGAGGTATGAGCCACTGGCACCCACTTTGTATATTTCTTAAATTAAATCTTGTACTCTCTCACTCCCAACCTTCAAGAGCTTCTGTTTCAGAATAAAATCCAAAGTCTCTACCATAGTCTAAGGGAACTTATCTTGGCTAGTGGTTCTCAAATACATCTAGAGGGCTTCTTTGAAGCAGGCAACACTGGACCCTAGCCCCTGACTAAACAGGTCTGGGCTGGACCTGCTAAAGTTCCTGGATGAGATCACTGCTTCTGGGTGGAGACCACACTTGTAACTCATTGCTCTGCACAAGCTGCCCACTGCCTGTCCTACAGCAAGCATATCCTCTACTCCACACACTGATTGTGATGTAGCCACACTGGTTTACTGCCTCTAAGACAGGCCAGACACCCTCAACTTTGAGCTCATGACCCTACCTGATTCTGGGGCCTGGGTGAGTTGCCTTGATCTCCTAAGTCACTTTACCACATGACGCTTTTCTGAAATCATACCTCACTGTAAATTGCCAACACTCCTCCCTAGCACATCTCTCAATCTATTTTTCCATCATATATTCAAACATATTTATACATTCTCCACCCTCCCCCACCCCCACACACTAAAGCATAGAACTTCAAAACAAAGTTTTTCTTTTCTATTTGCTACAGTGTCTAGAACCTAATAAACTCAATAGATAAAAAAGAGTGAGATGGGTACTAGTGTCACACCTGGAATGTTAGCTATTCAGGAAATTGAGATCTAGAATCACTTTTTCCATTTATTTCCCATTTTGATTAAAATTTAACCATTAAAGGAACTTTTAAAAAGAATCAAAACTTCCTTATTTTCTGCAGGTTTCCTTCACTCCCTTTCACCTAGTCTACCTCAACCTGTGTCCCCATGGGAGTTTTGGCATCCCAGAAAATGTGCAGTGCCCCAGACCCTAGTTAATTTCAGACAGAATCCAGCATTACCTTTAGTCATGTGGTGGGCAGAGCAGAAGGCATCTACCATGTGTGCTACCCAACACCTCTCATCCACACCTGTGCTACTTCGATACTCCCAGCCACACGAGCACCACTGTGTCACCATTGCTTACACTGGCCTAGGCATGGGCTTCCATGGTCATCAGGACAAATGTCCTGAAAGCTATTTTACCTGCATCTGGTGACATTTCCTGATCTGGGAAATCACTGGCACTGGAGCAAGCCAGGGCCACGGCACTGCAGGATGCATCTCTCTGCAGCAAAACTTGGGGCCCTTCCTTCCCAGACACAATGGAGATCCTGGACAAGTCCCCTAGATGATTCCATGAATGTGTCTCACATCCCTCATCTGTCAGAAATGAACAAAGAGGACAGAATTGTTCAAGTTATTTTCTTTCTTCATAGAAGGGTGCACTATCATCCTGCCCCCCAGAGCAAGGCAGCACACCAAATGGGGGGATCCACTTGGTTTTCATCCCAACCCAGGAATGATATTGTGCCTTTTCCTGTTGCTCAGGAGTCAGGATCACATCTTTGTAAACAATCGGTTACCAGGGCAATAGGTCACAGAAGGAAGACAGAAGGCATTCTAACCATCAGTTGACCATCCCTAGCCAGGAGGCAGTGTACTTTGGGAGGCCATTGCTCAAAAACAAACATCTTTTTTACCTGCTAATGAAACTGCAACTCCACTGCACCCCATCTTTCTCATTACAACAAAACACTTAGAAGAAAAAGAAAAGAGTGTTTTGGACTTCTTGCCAGGACTGGCTTGAAACCACAATTCTGATTTCAACCTCTTGAGTAGTGCCAAGCTTTTCCATGAGACAATTCTCTCAAATTAACCACCAAGAAAGAAGCAAAAAGAAATAGACAAAATTCCAGACCTTGAGCTGAGACTCAACTGGAAGATCATGGACAGCACACATGCCCTGATTTCAAGCCCATGACCTGCACATCATCATCATCATCATCATCATCATCATCGACATCATCATTATAATGTGAATAAAAAAGTATAAGACCCTATTAAGAATATTAAAATTGAGTGAGTCAGACATTTTTTGGTGGCTGACATGTAATCCCAGTTAGAAGCATGAAATCTCAGGATGGTGGTTAAAAGCCCACCTGGGCAGGAAATTCCATGAAGTTCTGATGTCCAACTAACCAGCAAAAAGCCAGAAGTAGAGCTGTGGCTCAAGTAGTAAAGCAACAGCCTTGAGCAAAAAAGCAAAATAACAGTGACCAGGCCCAGATACATAGGGTAGGACAACTAATAATTAATTAATTAAATACAAATACATAAATAAAATCAGAATGGAAGATGAGCACAAAGCGCCAATTCCAAATCTTAAAATGAGCAGAGAATTGGTGGCTTACACCTGGAGCTCAAGCTACACAAAAGACAGAACTTGAAGATCTCGGTTCCAAGGCAAACTAGGCAGAAAAGTCCATTAGGGATTTGTGAATGTGTATCAGTCCTGGGTCTTGAAGCCAGAGCTTGAAATAGAAATATTTTTCTTAAAGGTAGCACTCTACCACTTCTTCTCTTTGGGGGATTAAATGGAGATATATCTTACGGACTTACCTGCCTGGGCTTTCAACCTCAATCCTCAGATTTCAGGTGCTGATATAGTACCCTCAGCTTCTTATCTTCTATGAGAATTTTATCTTCCATGAACTGCCAAAAAGTAAAAGAAGTGAGAAGTTGATCTGTGTGGCTCAAGCCACAGAGACTGCTTCCTTTTAGGGAAAACAAACAACAAAAACCCTCATACACAGTGGCCCTGCCCTGCTTTCAAACCCAGGAAGTGATCAGGCCCTATGTTCAAGCCTTAGGACCACCATCAACAACAACAAAAGAATGACTCAGGGACAGGGACTAGGCCCAGAATTCAAGCCCTAGGAACAGCATCAAAAATAAAAGAAAAACAAATTCAGAGACTGTGGCTAGGCTCCAGAGTTCAAGCTCTAGAACCAGCACCAGGACACACACACACACACACACACACACACACACACACACACGAGAAATGAGAAGATGGCAAAAAAAGAGAAAAGTCAATGAAATATTTTTAAGTAGTAGCTCATGCCTATAATCCTAGCTACTGTAGAAGCTGAAATCTTAGGATTGTAGTTCATAGTCAGCCTGGGCATGTGTGCCAGTACTGGGGCCTGAACTTGTGCTGTTTTGCACAAGACTAGAACTATACTACTTCCAAACACTTGGTGATTAATTGGAGATGAGAGTCTCAACAACTTTCCTGCCCAGGCTGCCTTTGAACCACTATCCTCTGATTTTAGAGCCTGGGTAATGTCCCTGTCTTCCCATGAGAATCTATTTTTTGGTTGGTCATGGGGCTTGAACTCAGCCTACACACTGTCCCTCAGCTCTTCAACTCAAGTCTAGTGCTCTACCTCTTGAGCCACAGTGCCACTTCTGGTTTTTTGGTGGTTTATTGGAGATAATTGTCTCACGGACTTTCCTTCCCAGGCTGGCTTTGAACTGCAATCCTCAGATCTCAGCCTCCTGAGTAGCTTGGATTACAGCCGTAAGCCACTGGCACCCAGCTTTCTTTTTATTTTTTCTTTTTTGTGGGTGACGGGGCCCGCTCTAGCTCTGGATGCTGTCCCTTAGCTCTTCAGCTCAAGGTAAGCACTTTACCACTGAGCCACCTTCCCAGCTCCCCCATGAGACACTTATCAGCTATGAATTACCAAATTTGTTTTACAAAGCCAGATGTTGAGATGCATCTCAAGGTTCAGAGCCTGTCAGCCTTGCTCAGGACAGGGGAGAGACTCCTGCACAGTGATCTTGCCCTGATTTCAGGTCTAGGAACAGTCACCACTCCCTGTGTTCCAGCCCTAGGACCAGAACCAAAAAATAAATAACTCCCCCGTTTTCACTGTATTTGATGTTGGTATAATTTGTGAAGGGGAAGGGGAAGGGGAAAAACAAATTGTTTAAATAGGGATACAGGTGGACCTATTGCAACAATGAGATGTACAAGAGATTATGTCGAAAAATGAACATTACAGCTTTTGCCTGTGTGGGGGGGAGGAACGGGGGGGGAGGGTGGAGAACATTATATAAACAAAGCCATCAATGAAGCTGTGGCTCAAGCTGTCACAGTCTGCTAGTCTTGAGAAAAACAATACAAAAAATGTTTCATTCATAGTGGCTCTGCTCTGACTTTAAGCAGGAGAGTGTCCATGTCATGAGTTTAAGCCCTAGCACCAAAAATGAATGAATGAATAAATAAATAAATAAATAGAGCCAGAACTTTATCTGTGGCTCAAGCCATGGAGACTGCTAGTCTTGAGAAAGAAAGGGAAAAACCTCAGACACAGTGTCTCTGCCCTGATTTTATGACTAGCAAAAGTTAAGGCCCTATATTCAAGCCCTAGGACTAGCAATAAAGAAAAAACAAAACAAAAACAACAACAAAAACTTGGCAAAAACTCTGCAAAAAAGCCCAAGTCCTAAGTTCAAGCCAGAGGATCAGCACCTAAAATAAATGCAGAAAGAAAGACAAATGCCTAAAGAGCCACAATTTGAACTGTGTCTTGAGGTGGGAAGCCTACTACCCTTGAGAAAAAATTAGGAACAATGACCAGCCCTTGAGTTCAAGTACTATAACAAGCTCCAAAACAACCAATAAAACTCAAAACAAAAACCTCAGAAAGAATGGCCAGGCCTAAATAATAAGCTAGATGACATGAACTTACAAAAAAGAGAAAAGGAATAAAAAATTAAGTGAAAAGGAGGGCAAAAATATTAGAGGCAATTCAAGATTTTAAAAAATATGGTTCATACCTATAATCCTACCTGCTCAGAGGGCTGAAATCTGAGCATTTGTGTTTTGAATCTAGCTTGGGCAGGAAAGTCCATTAGAATTCTTTTCATTTGTGCTATTCCTGGGCTTGAACTTGGGGAGTTTTGCTCAAGGGTAGAGCTCCACTGCTTCCTACCTATTGCTGGTTAATTGGCGAAAAACATCTCATGGATTTTCATGCCTAGGATGGCTTTGAACCTTGGCTCTCAACTTTCAAGACTCTGTATCGTCATCTTGGCTTCTTGTACTACTCTTTTCCTTTCTGTATTTTTTGTCAGTTGTGGGGTTTGAACTCAGGACCTGTGTGCTGTCCCTGAGCCTCTTGTACTCAAGGCTTGTGCTCTACCACTTGTGCTATAGCACCACTTCTGGGTTTTGAGTGGTTAATTGGACATAAGAGTCTCACAAGGGAACTGGGAAAGTGTCTCAGTGGTAAAGCGCTTGCCTTGCATGCTTGAGGCCCTGGGTTCAATTCCTCAGCACCACATAAGTAGGAAAAAAAGCCGGAAGTGATGCTGTGGCTCAAGTGGTAGAGTACAAGCCTTGAGCTGAAGAGCTGAAGGACAGCACACAGGCCCAGAGTTCAGGCCCAAGACCGGATCCCCCCCCCCAAAAAAAGAAGCTCAGGGACAGTGACCAGGCAGAAGAGTTCAAGCCCCAAGACCGGCAAAAAGAAACAAAGATAAAAGAAAGTGAGTAATTAAGCTGTGGCTCAAGGTATGAAACCTGTTAGCCTGGAGAAAAAAGGTAAAAAACGTAAAGAAAAATTTAAAAAGAAATTATTCCCAGTACCACACCCTCCAGTGCACTTTTCCCTACATCCTTAGTGTGCAGACAACCAGGCCAATGCCCCTGTTATATCCTATGTCTCAATGACAAAAATTTCAATTATTTGAAAACTGCCTTCCAAGAATTGCCACATGGGACCACATGGGGAATTATTGACCACATGCAATTATTGACTTCAAAAATATTTATTAACATGATTTCTTTTATTCTTGTGATTTTTCTATGTCCTTCTCATCATTACTTCCCTAGCACCTAGCAAATTACCTGGAATAAAAATAGAGAAACATGTCTGCTTACTGAACATCTGCATGTATATTTAGAATACTAAGCTAGTTTCAATGGGGTCATCAACACTGAAGATTTTTTACTATGAGCCTCATACTTTGTAAAAAACAAAACAAAACACATTTTACCCTCAGGAACTCTACATTTGCCAGTTGTCAGTCACTGATACTGTCATCCTAGTTACTAAAGGGAAGGAGGTTCTTGTGTTGTTCAAAAATATTGATGTTATAAAGATAAGGAAAAGCTGATAAATTATTATAGACTAAAAGAGATCAAGTATACACAACTACATATAATTCATGATCATGTATTGGTTTTTAGAGAAAAAAATTGATAAGGACAGAATTGAGCCAATTGGCAAAACTGGAATATAGACAAAAGATTAAGCAAAAGTATGGCATTGTGATTAATTTACTGAATCTGATAACTATACTGTGGCTATGTAATAATGGGACATTTTTGTCCTGAGATCAAGATTAAATATGTAGGAATAGAGAACTATGAAATATACAATTTAATCTCAAATGTATGTCCACAAAGAGAACATACATGCAAGCATAAGTGATTAAGCAAATGAAGGAAAATATTAACCAACTGAATTTGCATAAAAATCACAGAAATAGTTTATATTCTTTTTGTGACTTTTCCTAAATTTGACTATTTTTAAACAATACTAGATTGAATAGAGTGAAGAGATGCACTTGAACTGCAGAAGATGAGTTCCTGAGGATTGTTCTGAGAAGGCTTCATGGAGAATGCATGCATTGGGGGATAAGAATAAAAGATCAAGTGTTACATATGAAAATTATGGAAATCCAAACATTCAGACTACAACAATAAAGTACCAAGAGTAAGAAAATTCACAGATACAGAAAATAACTCAGGGCTACTGTGGATTGAGGGCTGAATGGTTTAATGGCCCCAAATTTTTGTTGAGGGTGATGGATATGTTTTGGATAAGATAAAGGTGATGGTTCTACAATACTGGAAATGTACTGAATGTCACTGAATTGTGGTTATAATAATAAATGTTATTACTATTTCCCTATAAAGAATAAAAAATCATCCCAGTTTAGAGGCTACTGTTTGCAGGAAACTCCTTGACATTATATAGTCACAGGAAACTGTACTCTTTATTTCTTACATTCAGTAGATTTTAAACATGTATTTCTTTATGTGTTTTTTTCTTCTTTTGAGGTAGAACTTTGCTAGCACAGGCCGGCCAGGAATGTGCAATTCTGCTACTTTGTTCCTTGAAGAATGTCTTTCTTCTACACAAGACATTCCATAATAAAATTTATTATCTAATAAGAAAAGCAAAAAGATCAAGTGTTACGTTCCTTACCCTAGGACTTAGGAGCAAAGAGGACATCCTGACTTATATCAGCTCCCTCTGTCCAGAAAGCATTGTGTGCCTGGTGCTTACTGGTTTATAGAATGTCTCCTGAGCCTAGGAAAGATAGGCATAAAAGGAAAAAGCATCCCTTGTCCTGTGCATGAGCAGGCAACCGAATATATGTTGTATTAAATATTTCTCTGGATATAGAACCTCCCTACCCCTCTCTGACCTTGGATATGCATATAGCTCCCAAGTCACCAACAAAGAGCAAGGCTTTGCCCAAGGCTCTTACTTCCATATGGTAAATGGTTACTATCTCAGTTTTTAATTCACTGAAGTGTCACAAATAAATGAATCAAAATCACCAAGAAGTAATAACTTACCCTGGCAAGTTTGTCTGGCTTGCAGGAGATGTACAGCTGGGAAAACAGCTCTGTTATCCCTTCAGAAAAATCTTCATCTCCTGAAAAAAACAAAGTCTCACATGAAAAATATTCCAGCAAAAATGCTGAGGTTCACAAGAAAGGTAAGAAGGAAGAGGAGTGAAGGCAGCAGAAGTAGTCATAATAATTTAATGAGCATGGAATATGAGTGCTTATACAATTTTTTTCCTTTCCTTCTGAGGGTTTTCTGATGCATTGTTATCATTATCCAGTCTTTCAGATAATGTCCAATTAAGACAACCATTTCTGACACTTTTCTTCCACCACTGGTTAAGCTGAAGCTACAGGTGGTAGGGATAATAATATTCACTCGGCCTCCTGAGCTTTCTTGGCAGACTTGGTGACCTTGCCAGCTCCAGCAGACTTCTTTTCCACAGCTTTGATGCCACACACAGCAACTATCTCCTATTACAAACAGCAAGATGATCCATAGGAGAATAGTCAAAGAAGCTCTCCACATACACAGGCTTGCTGGAACCATATGAAGCATGACAGCATCACTACATTTCAGGAATTTAGGACTAGCTTCCAGCTTCTTACCAGATCTGCGTTCAAGCTTCTCTTTCCACTCAGTAAATTTGCAAGCAATTTAAGCTGAGTGAAAATCCAGGACAGAGGCATAGGAAGCACTAGTTTGGCCTGGATGGTTCAGGAAGGTCACCCAAGCTGTGAAGCTAAATGCTTCCTTGGGTGGATCATTCTTGTTGTCACCACCAACTTTGCCATGGCAAACATCTTTGGCTGACATGCTTATAGAATTTTTTTGTGCACAGTATGTCAATGGATGTTCTTAATGGGCTTATAAGAGAAGTGGGTATTATCACACTTGGGTGATAAAGATAATGAAGGCTGGAAGAGGTCAAGAATTTCTACAAGATCTCCTAGCAAAGATCAGAAGTTAAACCTTGGCCTCCACTCTCAATGTTCTTTGCACCACATTACAGAAGAATGAATGGAGAGTATGAAGCAGATATTATATAAAGAAAATGGAATTCAGGGCTGGGAATGTGGCTTAGTAGTAGAGTGTTTACCTTGCATGCATGAAGCCCTGGGTTTGATTCCTCAGTACCACACAAACAGAAAGAGCTGGAGGTAGCACTGTGGCACAAGTGGTAGAGCATTAGACTTCAGCAAAAAGAGGCTCAGGGACAGAGCCCAGGCTCTGAGTTCAAGCCCCAGGACCAGAAAAAAAGAAAAAGAATAAAAGAAAATGGAATTCAAGTTGGGACAGTAAGACTCCAGGAGAATCCAGGTTATCCAATAAAATGGGAAGAGTTTCAGGCAGAGAAAATGAGTGCCAAGATTAGGGGGATGAAAGCATAGCAGGAAGTTTAGAATAAGCAAAGGAAAAAACAACAAAATAAGATCCAGCTAAGACTGAGCCTTTATACCCTCTTAATATTTCAAAGTTTCTACCAAAGAGATGAGGAACTACTGATGATTTTTAAAACAGAGACAGGTAAGATCAAATTTAAATCAAAGAAAGATCACTTTAGTGGCTGAGTACAGAACTTATCAGCACTAATCTAGGAATAAACAAGAAAGTAAAATTGAGTCAATAATCCATGATCCAAGTAAGAGACAGTGATGTGTAAATCAGGGGGAGAAAGGATTCTTAAATGTTGGAAGGGTGCTAAGGAAAATGTTGAAATTATCATGAAGATGGGAACACAGAACACCTTAGTAGAGAAACATGCAAACATAAGGATAAGTCAAGAGCAAACTATAATCAAGACAGACAAACAAATTGTCAGGAAATATTCTTTCTCTCTTTACACATCTAAATCCTATCCATTCACCCACTTTGAGACCAGCCTAATGTTTTAGACTTTAGAATCTATATATTTATTAATCACCAGTCTATAGCTTCAAAGGGCAAATTATTACTTCTTTATACCTGCCATTGTCTCCAAAAGTCCCTGGTTGGTGGGAGGGGGGAATGTATCATGGCTCATTTGTCCCTCTCAGTTGGCATTTAAGAGAGAGAATTAAAATGACTTAGCAATCCAAGTTTAACATGGATTGTGAAGGTGATCTCATTAATACCATCCTTACCTATGTACCTCATTTAAGCAACATTTAATTATATCCTACTATGAAAAAAATCTAAAACCTGGCTTGTAGGTTGTCATTACAACTAAATCCTGCTGGGTGCAAGAAATTAATCTGAAAACATAATGAGATACCAATATCACAAAGTATTGACAAAATGATCCAATGGCATGCAGAATTTTTTATTTATATTTATCTCACTCTGTTCTAAACATATTTAATATATACTTAGAATATAATTAATATTTGAATATGTACATTGAATTTACAAATGTACAAATATACAATGTATTATGTTTGAGTTTATTTAAATAAACTTTTTTTTGGTAAGAGTTGTGAACAATTGTGTTGTGGCTCATATCTGTAATCCTAGCTATTTGGGAGGTGAGAATGGAGAATTATAATTTGAGGTCAGGCTTAGCAGCACAGTTTGTGAGATCCCCTTCTCAGCCATAGCCTGGTACAGTAGTATCTGCTCATCCTCTTACATTAATGTGAGAGGCCAAAATTAAGAGGATCTCAGTTCCAGCCCAACCTGGGCAGAAAATTTTAGGAGATTCCATCTCAACAGAGAAGCTGAACACAGTGGCAAGTGCCTGTGATCCTAACAATGACAGGAAGACTGACATGGGTAACTCTAGTTCAGACATGCATCCAGGAAAAACCAGACTCTCCCTGAAAACAGTCAAGGGAAAAAGGGGCCCAAGGCATGGCTCAGTGGTAGTGTGCCTGCCTACTGACTTTGAGTGAGTTGAGCTCAAACCCCAGTACCACCATAAACAAAGGTAAACAATGGTGGAAGATCACTGCCAAATGCTTTCCACAGAATGAAATATATATTAGGCAGGAGTGTGGCTCAGTATTAGGCTAGAGGTGGAACTCTGTCTTAGAGGACTTGGCTGAGGCTCTGTGTTTGGGGACTGGCACTGTGGTAAGGAGAAGTTGCATTGAAAGTATGTAGGATGGTGCTGGTGGTTCATGGCTATAATCACAGCTACTCAGGAGACTGAGACTTGGAGAATGGACCTTTAAAGCCAGCCAGGCAGAAAATTCTGTTTAGATCTATCTCCACTTAGCAAGAAAAAGGTATCTTGGTTCAGAGTGGTAAGACATCAGCTCAGTTCAAACTGTGGACTGTGGTCCTGGCACCAAAAACAACAATAAATAAATAAATAAATAAAATAATAAAGTGTGGGCTTTGGAGGAACTTTGCAAGAAGGAAGGGCTCTCCCAAAATAGGATTAGGCAAAGGGATGGTAAGAACCAAGGATGCTGATGGAAAAAGATGACCAACACTGCCACACCACCAGGTTCCTAGGTTCCTAAATTTATCGCCCATTAGCTACTTCCATTTTTTCCATACTTCATTGAGATATCATTAAATGCCAACATCACAACAAATATCACTGAGGAGGGCTGGCACAGATTGTGAGAGGAGCTGGGAAGGAGTCTATTTTCAGAGTCATTTCTGGTGAACATAATAGATAAAAATCCAACTGTTTAGAAAATCCCTCCAAGTCCTCTGAATGGTATTTAAAGATCAAGAGTCCCATTCGTGGGCAAAACGAGATGCTGATTACATGAACGAATGCTGTTAATTGCACAAATAAGTTTATAAATAACACAATTGCCATATTGAGGCCTAGTTAGAAAAAAATGCAACTATCTAAACACATCACAATGGCTTTATGTGTTTCCTAAGTTAAGCCATCTAAAAAGAAGATTTTTTTAATCTATTATATCTTTGGAATCATGAAAATAATTAGTATCTCTTAGTTAAGACTATTATACACTATTTATTTTTCTGTTTGTGGAGCCTGAACTCTGGGCCTGGACACTGTCCTTGGCTCTTCAGCTCAAGGCTAGCATTCTACCACTTGAGCCACAGCGCCACTTCGACTTTTTCTGCTTATGTGATGCTGAGGAACTGAACCCAGGGCCTCATGCATTCAAGGCAAGCACTTTACCACTGAACCACCTTCCCAGCCCCTGAATACAGTATTTCATTTAGTACTTATTTTAACAACCTGTGAGGAATTAGATTGGGTTACCTTATAGATGAGAAAACAGCTCAGTATCAAGGAACTTTTCAAGGTCACATGGCTTTAGTAAATGACAGATCTTCATTTTAACACAGTGGAAAACTCCAAAGCCCATCATAGTTAACTGCCACCTCAATATTTCAGAACAACATTAAGAACGTACATTCAAAAAACTTTTTTCTTTTGTGCAAGTCATGGGGCATGAACTCAGGGCCTGGGTGTTGTCCCTGAGCTGTTTCAGCTCAAATCTAATACTCTATCACTTGACTACAGCTCCACTTTGGGCTTTGGGTAGTTAACTGGGGATCAGAGTCTCACAGACTTTGCTGGTGAGCTGGCTTTAAACCCAGATCCTGGATCTCAGCTTCCTGAGTGGCAAGGTTTACAGGTGTGAGCCATTAGAAAATATTTTCTAATCAGGAAGCAAGCTTTTACGTAGACTAAATAGTCATTTATTAGTAAGGTGTTATACAACTGTCTAGTTTGAACTCTTAGAATACACTGCTGAAAACAACAAACAAAAAAGAAAATGTCCCAGTCTGCAGAAAATCTGTACTCAAGGAGTAAAGAAAGTCCCTCCCTGAAAAATGTTCAGTCTTTCTGTAGAAAACTTGAAGACTAGTTATTTTACAGTAGATTAGAAATAGAAAAAAACCAAATGAGGTTAAGAGGATATTAGTGACAAGCACACTGACAGTTCAAAAAGTAAAAGAGAAAGCCATCTTTAAATGCACTGACATTTGGAAAATTTTAATTTTGCAGCCTTCATACTAGTCAGGACCTCTTAATACTTTTAAATCTTTGAAAGCCCCCAAAGAGCTAATTAAAAATGTAAGTAGACAGGCTTGGAAGGTGGCTCAGTAGTAGAGTGCTTGCTTTGCATGCATGAGGTCCTGGGTTGGATTCCTCAGCACCACATAAGTAGAAAAAGCCAGAAGTGGCACTGTGGCTTAAGTGGTAGAGTGCTAGCCTTGAGCTGAGGAGCTGAGGGACAGTGCCCAGGCCCAGAGTTTAGGCCCCACAACTGATAAAAACAATGTAAGTAGAGGTAGGAACTGGTGGCTCTCACCAGTAATCCTAGCTACAGATTCGGGAGACTGAGAGCCATAGATTGCTATTAAAAGCTAGCTGGCTTCCAATGTATAACCCCTCTTTTCACTGTATTGGATGTTGGTATAATTTGTGGAGGGGAAAGGAAAAACAAAGTGTTTAAATAGGGATACAGGTGGACCCACTGCAACAATGAGATGTACAAGACGTTATGAAAAAAGTTTACAACTTTAGCGGGGGAAGGGAGGGGAAGGGGAAACAAAGGAGGTAGCAACAATGCTTGATGAGAAATGTACTCATTACCTTACTCGTGTAATTGTAACCCTTCTGTACAGTATTTTCACAATAAAAAAACACAAATTAGAGGGAAAAAAAGCTAGCTGGAGCAGGAAAGTCAGTGAGACTTATTTCCAATAAACTACTCAGAAAAAAAAAAACAAAACAAAACAAAAAACACTTGTGACTCAAGTGGTAGAGTGCAGCTCAGTATCAATGCCTATGCCTAGGTGCTGAATTCAAGCCCAGGACTGGCACAAAAATAAATTACATAAAAAACACACACACACACACACACACACACACACTAAAGAAACAGACAGATACAGACAGATATGTTAAAAAGTAGAACACATCTAATGAGCAAAGCATCAGGTATTGAGTTCAATTCCTAGTTTCCCATCCCAAACAAAAGAAAAATTAGAACTGAAGTGCTTATGGTAGTTTTGCAAACTTAAGAAAAAAAACAGTACTTGTTAATATACATTTATTGAAAATAACTGTAATTTCCACAAAAGGTGAAATTTCAGCAGAATAATACAATTGTTTTACATCTTTAATGAATCTCTTTATCCTTTAGCTTAATGAAAGACACATGTATTCTCTTATCTGCTTTTACACTCTGTCTACTGGGGTATGTTGTTTTAAGTATATGAAGGAAATCTACCTCACAAAGTCACTTAGTTAGAAAAGGAAGAAGTTTTAGTAGCCTTCTCAGATTATCAGTAAAGGAAATGCTTACATATTCCTTAATACTATACTAAAACTCAACTAGTGTCATCTCTTAAAATTTAGTTGTAATGATATACATAGCAATGAGCCTGAAGCTATACCATAAGATTTTCTGATTGGATGTATTGAATTAAAATCCATTAGTCTTTTTTTTCTTTTGCCTGTGCATCATTTGCTAACATCACACATTAAATAATGGGAAAATACTCACTCCGAGTCACACAAATCTTTCAAATGCTGACCAACTGTCTTGAAATGAATGAATATAGCTGTTATTTTCAACACAGATTTCATCAGCATAGTCTGTAAACAGCACTGGGAAGCTACAAAGCTCAACAGATCAATAAATCCATTCTACAAAATTGAAAGTTAGTTTGAATGTATATCATGACTCATACATAGTTGCTTTTCTTGTTGTAAAGGCTCATTTCATTCACTTTTAAGAAATGTTCACCAAATAGTATTATAGTCTCTGGGCTGGGAAGGTGGCTCAGTGGTAGAGCACTTGCTTTGCATGCATGAGGCCCTGGGTTCGATTCCTCAGAACCACATACGCAAAAAGAAAAAAACCGGAAGTGGCTCTGTGACTCAATTGGTAGAGCACTAACCTTGAGCTGAAGAGCTGAGGGACAGCGCCCAGGTCCAGAGTTCAGGCCCCCTGACCAGACCCCCCTCCCCCAAATAAAGAATTCTAGTCTCTGTGACCACTTGTATACTTCATAGTGAAAATGGCATTCCATGGCAAAGCATGTAGTTCAATTAAACACTACAAATGGGCTAGGCACTGGTGGCTCATGCCTGTAATCCTAGCTACTCAGGAAACTAAGACCTAAAGATCATGGTTCAAAGCCAGCTCAGGCACGAAAGTCTGTGAGACACTTTCTCCAATAAACTACTAAAAAGAAGACAGAAGTGGTGCTGTGGTTCAAGTGGTAGTACACTACCCCTGAGCAAAAAAAGTTTAGGGTACTACCCAAGCCCTAAGTTCAAGTCTTAGGACCAGCTTAAAAGAAAAATTCAAAAGTGAATTCATTCATTACACTTTTTAAAAATAGCCAATTAGCAAAGAATATGTTAGAAATATATTTAATTAAATGTTAAAATAAAACAAACCTAATTATTCATTTGTCCAGAAATTATATTTTATATTAACTGCCACATTACCTAATTACTGTAAAAAATGAGCAGCTTCAACATTCGTATTTCGTAAGAGATACAGCAGGCTTTAAATTGTGGAGGCGGGGACGGGGGAAGAGTGTCACTCACATTTTAGGTACTACCACCTTTTCTGCCTCAATTCAAGATGGGATTAAGGGTCCCACAAGTCACAAGGTACAGCTGAAGTATCCAGAGATATAAAGAAATGTCAGTCAAACTGAAGAGAAACTCTGAAAAGAGCAGTCTTTAACTGTAAACACTGGCAGGGGTATATGAACAATATCAGTATGAGGGATGCTAAAAGGAGTCTGACAGGAAAAAAAAAAGAAGACATAAGCAAGAGGTGACATGTCTGAACACCTAGACAGGGGGAAAGTTGCAAAAAGGATTCTACATGAAAATTCTCACTGCAAAAATGAGAGAGAGAGATGCAGGGTACCAGTGGCTATCCTTTTCACACTGCTACTTAGCTGGCTGAGATCTGGGGATCATAGTTGGAAGCCAGTCTAGGAAGATAACTCCAAGAGAGTCCTATCTCTAATCACAAAAAAAGCTGGAAGTAGAGGTGTGGCTCAAGTCCTTGAGGGCCTAACTTTAAGCAAAAAGCTCAGGGACAGCAAGCAGACCTTGAGTTCAAGCCCCAGGACCAGCATAGGTGTTGTGAGCACGTGCACACATACACACAATTTACTGTAGTTTACTCAAGGCAAAATATAAATACACTGCATCTTCCAACTCAGATTCTGAGTTTTCATATTACCTTTCTTCTCTTCTTCCTCTTCCTCACAAAATTCTGCTAGGGAAAATACGTCTTTGAGTTGTTCTAATTCAAGTATTATAGCCTCTAATTCTTCTCCACTCAGAGAATTAAGGACAGATTTCACCTGAATGAAGATAATAAAATATTGTGGAAATATGAATGAAAAAAATCTCACAAGGAGAAAAGACTGATGCCAACACATCAGTGTGTGTGTGTGTGTGTGTGTGTGTGTGTGTGTGTGTGTGTGTGTGTGCTAGTCCTAGGGCTTGAACTCAGGGCCTGGTCACTTAGATTTTGTGCTCAAGTCTATTACTCCATTATCTGAACCACAGCTGAACCACAGCACCACTTCCAGCTTTTTGGTGGTTAATTGGATATAAAAGTCTCACAGACACTTTTATCTGACCATAATAATCAGATTTCAGTCTCCTAGGTATCTAGGGTTGCAGTACCCAGTTCTAATTTTTTTTGCTGGTCCTGGAGCTTGAACTCAGGACCTAGGAGCTATCCCTGAGGCTCTTTGTGCTCAAGGTTAGTGCTGTACCACTTGGAGCTACAGCACCACTTCCAGCTTTCTGAGTGATTTATCAGAGATAACTTGTCTGGCCTGGCTTTCAACTAACCTCATATCTAGCCTCCTGAGCTAGGATTAGAGCCAGAACTTTTTTTTGGTCGTGGGGCCTGAACTCTGGGCCTGGCCCTATCCCTCAGTCTTCAGCTGTAGACTAGTGCTCTATCACTGAAGCCTACGCCCCACTTCTGGGTTTCTGCTTATGTGGTGCTGAGGAATCGAACCGAGGGCCTCATGCATGCAAGGCAAGCACTCCACCACTGAGCCACCTTTCCAGCCCCCAGAACTCTTTTTTTAATAATTGTAACACAAAAGGTTAGATATTATAAGAAGGTAGATAGAATTTGTATTTCCAAAATTAATACAGGCTAGAAGAGAACTGAAAATTATCAGTGCTTAAGCATGACTTCAAAGCCCAGGCAGGAAAAGCCATTAAACTCTTATCTCCAATAAACCACTAGATCAAATACCAGAAATGGAGCTGTGGCTCAAAAGGTAAGCACCTGCTCTGGGCTGAAGATGTGAGGCACAGCGCCCAGGCCCAGAGTAAAAGCCCCACAACCAACAACAACAGCAACAACAACAAGAAGGAGAAGGAGAAGGAGAGGAGGAGGAGGAGGAGGAGGAGGAGGAGGAGGAGGAGAAGAAGAAGAAGGAGAAGAAGAATAAAAAGAAGAAGAAAAAGAGAAGAAGAAGAAGAAGAAGAAGAAGAAGAAAAAGAAGAAGAAGAAAAAGAAGAAGAAGAAAGAATGTCTTAGATTATCAGAGGAGATGAACTAACAGGAAATGATATACAAATTAGCAGCTATAACAGGCTTTTTGACAGCTAAAAACCCATGACATTGGAGAAAAACCATAAAATGAAAGACTAAGGTAAAAGAAAAAGATATCTGATATTAAGACCTCTTTGTTATTCTGTTCTTTTTCTATAACTTTAAGAGAAATAACATTTGACTTACTCAATATTTCTAACAATAAAGCAGTAAGGGATATTTTTCTTCTATTATAATATTTCCAGCATGCCACACCTCCTTCAGAAACACATTTCGACTTCCAAAAATACAAAGAGAAAAGAAACCATGCAATGGTTATACTTTGAAGACTCTTTTCAGCTGGGAGTTTGAGATTGGAATTACCTTTTTTTCACTTTCTTGCAAAAGCATCTCCAGAACTTTTAGATGTTCTTGAAGTTCATCAAAGGGTAGCCCACTATGAGATTTCTTATCTGTTTCCGTGGCTACCTCATTGGAGGTCATGAGTTCTTCTTTCTCCTTTGCCTCTTGTAAAACCTAAAAAGAGATGGAAGTATAGAAGCAGCAAATAATAGCTCAAGGGTAACTTTTAAGAGTGGAGAAAAGCAAAGCTGAGACAAGTTCCAGTAAAGAGTGCTGCTCTTCATGCCTGGTATGGCAAATCAAATTCACTAAGGATCAGGAGCTGCATGGGAAAAAAAAGTAGCTAAACAAAATTTGATGCTTGACAGTATCACCCAAGGAGCCACATGCATTTCTAAAAGTGGTTTCAACATTAACCTAATAAGCAATCTTGATAGCGTTCAGGATTTTGCAATGCGCTGACAGAGGCTACTGCAGAAAGAAAAGAGCTGGCCATTTGTATAAGCATTAGAGCTCTAACTGCACATCCAGCCCATAAAAAATGCCTTCATTTTATAAAGCATTGAAAATTCTTTGCAAGGAAATACACTAACAAAATCTCAAGGTAACAAAGGGAAAAATTCAAATTAAAAAACAAAACAAAACACATGAACAACAGAAAACAGCAATCAAACCAGTAAAGGTAACAGTACCTGAGACAGTGTAGAATTCCAGTTCATCAGATCCTTGGTCATTTTAAATACAGGATCCCCTTCTGCTATTACATCTATTGTCTTCTTCACAATGAATTTGAAGGCAACTAAACCCCCACTAATAATGTCCTTTCCCTACAATACTGGGAAAACACATTTGCATGTTTTGTGGGGGTTTTGTGTCAGTCCAGGGGCTTAAAACTCAGGGCCTAGGTGATGTCTATGAGCTTTTTTTCTTCAAGGATAGCACTCTATCACTTGCACAACAGCTCCACTTCCTGCTTTGTTTGCTGGTTAATTAGAGAGAAGAGTCTTACAGACATTCCTGCCTGGGCTGGCTTTGAACCACAATCCCCAGATCTCAACTTCCTGAGGAGCTAGGTTTACAAGCATGAGACACCAATGTCCAACCATTTATATGTTTCAATTCTTTAAGAGTGACCTACAATACCAAGCACTGGGAAGAATGTGGAAGAGTAAGGGTAATACACACTGCATGTAGAAACATAGTAGGTTCTCCTCTTTGGAAAACTGCTGGCCAGTATCTACTATAGCTACATATGTACAGTGGTTCATCAGAAGACATTACAGGCTGGGAATGTAGCCTAGAGGTACAATGCTTGCCTAGCATGCATGAAGCCCTAGGAACAATTCCTCAGTACAACATACATAGAAAAGGCAGGAAATTGCAGTGTGGCTCAAGTGGTAGAGTGATAACCTTGTGCAAAAGAAGCTCAGGGACAGTTCCTGGGCCCTGAGTTCAAGCCTCAGTACTAGCCAAAAATAAATAAATAAATAACCAAAAATGTTCAGAGCAGCAGTATTTGTAATAGCTATAACATGGAAACTATTTCAATCCTTAAAAACTGTGGAATAAATAAAATATAACATAGTGACAAAATGGAATACCACATGGAATGCAACATGGTCAAATGATACAAAAATGTTGTGAAAGAAGATAGATACAAAATGTACTATAAGTATGTAAAGTATAAAAGCAAACAAAGGTAATCTAAGATAAAAGTCAGGACTATAGTTATCTTCCTAGAAGGGGCATACTATCTCTTAAAGAATTTGAACAAGTTCACATTATGAAAATGAACTGTTTTAAATTTCAGTATTAAAATTAAGAAAAAATATAAAGCATAAAGTTAAAGTATAACTAAGTATTTAATATATGCCTATAATGCCATTACTCCAGAGACTAAGGCATAAGTATTGTGAGTCTGAGGCCAGCCTAAGCTACATTCATATCCAGTTCAAGGATGCCAGGCTACACAGTGAAAAGAATGAAAAGAGAATCCAAAGACACAGTGTACGTCTGTAATCACAGCTGCTTACAAAGTAGAGGCAGAATTGTAGCCCAAAACCAGCACAAGTAAAAGCCAGTGATTGGATCCAAAAACAAACTAGCTATTTCTGCTTTCTAGTTGCCATGGTATGATTGATTCTGCTTTGCCATGACCTTCCTGCCATTATGAACTGACATCTCTGAGAACAAAACTGCTCCCTGTAGATAGGTAGATAGATAGATAGATAGATAGATAGATAGATAGATAGATAGATAGATAGATAGATAGATAGATAGATAGATAGATAGATAGGCAGGCAGAAGAAAGGAATAAGGATGTGGCTCAAGTGGTACTTCATATTGCCAACAAAAGTTACAATAGCCAGGCAGTGTTGTCTGGTGACTCATGCCTGTAATCCTTCTCAGCTACTCTGAAGTGGTACTTCATATTGCCAAAATAAATAAACAAAAGTTACAATAGCCAGGCAGTGATTCTTATTTCCAAATAACTTCTCAAAAAATTTAGAGAATAGCACGGTGGCTCAAATGGTAGAGTGATAGCTGCCTTAAGTACAGAAAGGGTCAGGGACAACACCCAAGTCCTGAGTTCAAGCCCCACAACTGGCAAAAGAAAAAAGTATTTATCTACACATAGTAAACATCTTTCTAAACAAGGGGAAACTATAGTCAGAAACAGATCAATGGTTGGAAAATGCTGTGAACAGACAAAAAGGTGTGGCTACAGACTGGCATGAAGGAACTCCCTTAGGTAATGAAAATATTCTTATATCTCAGTGAGCCATACAAATACAGAAAATATTCTGTGTCTGTGTATCACAATATACTGTGACTATACAGTATAAACATAATTATTATTTCTCAACACAAAGTCATATTGCAAAAAACCAGTTTTACTGTATGCAAATTATAGCTCAACTTTGTCCTAGAAGACTATGCTGATTCTTAGTAAGGGAATCAATATATATTACAAAGATGAGTATGTTTCAAAAATAATCAGTTCTCTTTTACCTTTAAAAATCATATAAGAGATCAACAAGTACACCAAGTAATTAAACTATATTATATTAAACATTCTATTATGTAGAGAACTTTTCCTTTCAAGTACTATAAATAAGCTGATATTACACTTGCCTTCCTATACAGCAACTAGAAAACCAGACAAAATATAAGAAAGAACTATTTTTAGACAATGGAAAAAAGACAAAATAAAAGACTTTGGTCCAGGAGAAAAGAGAAACAAAGTCAACCCTACAGCTGGGCTTTCTGCCTAGAGAAAAGTTCCAAACCCCAACACACAGAGGAGATCCTAAAGACAACAGAACACTCACACACAATGTAAGTCAGGGATAAAGGCTGGCATCAGGGAAGGCTGAAGCAGCTATCACTTGAAAGTTAGAAAACTTCAGAGGATGCAGCTATATAAGTAAAATGTTTCAAGAATCTACAGATGTGCCCATGTGTCTTTATCTGAATAATATACTGTTAAAAAACACTAGGTAACGCCACACAGTTGGAGAAGAACTAGTGTAAGTAGTAAGCAACACAATCCCCATAGCTCAAGCTATGCGGAAACATCTGGTTTTTAAACAATCAAGTGAACAGACTTCACTGAACACCTGAGGAATAAGAATGAATTCAGAGGAATCAGGGCTCAGCAGTAAAGATTAACTAGTCCTTAAGATTGAAGGCTACACTAGACTCCCTATAATCAAGCCTAACAGAGAGAAGAAAGTGGTGACATTGTCCAAAAAACAAATCCTTTAAATAGGGATACAGGTGGATCCATAGCAAGAATGAGATGTACAAGTTGTTATGTGGAAAAACAAACTTTGAAACTTTGGGGGGGGAGGAGAATTGGGTGGGGGAGGGTGGGGGAGGATGGGAAGGGGAAACAAAGGAGGAGGCTACAATGCTTGATAAGAAATGTACTCATTATCTTGCCCACGTAATTGGAACACCTCTGTACAGCATTTTCACAATAAAAATTAAAAATAAAAAAGGGTGAAGAAAAAATAAAGAAATGCACCAGTGGCTCACACCTGTAATCCTAGCTACTCAGGAAGCTGAGATCTGAGGATTGTGGTTCAAAGCAAGCCCTGGCAGCAAAGTCTGTGAGACTCTTATCTCCAATAAACCATCAGAAAACTAGAACTGGCATTGTGGCTCAAGTAATAGAGCACTAACTAGCCTTGAGCTCAAGAGCTGAGAGGCAGTGCCCAGGCCCAGAGTTCATGTCCACGATTGATAAAAAAGAAATGTACTTTTTACCCAACTTATATAACTGTAACCCTATCTTTTAGTAACAGTTAAAAAGTTTTGAAATATGAATCTGAATCGGGAAAGCAGGACTGGGCCACTGATGACTCACGCCTATGGTCCTAGGATCTCAGGGCTGAGATCTAAAGATCACAGTGGAAAGCCACCAGGGCAGAAGAACCTGTGAGACTTTCATCTCCATTTATTTATCCAGCAAAAATCAGAGGCAGGGTTCAAGTGCCAGCTGTGGGGGAGGAGGACAAGGTAGACTGTGAAGATGGGAGTTCAAACCCCAGTGCCAGAACATAAACATTAAAAAAGAAAGAGGCCTGACACCGGTAACTCACACCTATAATCCTAGCTACTCAGGAGACTGAGATCTGAGGATCACCGTTCAAAGCTAGCCTGGGAAAGAAAGTCTGTGAGACACTTATCTCCAATAAACCACTCAGAAAACCGGAAGTGGCGCTGTGGCTCAAGAGCTAGAGTGCTCGCTTGAGCAGAAGAGTGCAGGGACAGGGCCAACACACAGAGATCAAGCCCCATGACAGACAAAAAAAAAGTGGGGTGGAGGAAGAAAGGAAGCAAGGAAGCAAGCTAGCTAGCTAGCTAACTAGCTGGATGCCAGTGGTTCACACTTGGAACTCTAGTTATCCAGGAGGCTGAGATCTGAGCATCACAGTTTGAGGCCAGACCAGGCAAGGTAGTCTAGTCCAGGCAGATTTATCTCTCCAATTAATCACCAAAAAAAATAATTATCACAGAAGTATAGCTGTTGCTCAAGTAGTAGGGTGCTAGCCTTGAGGAAAAAGGTTCAGCACCCAGGTCCTGATTTCAACCCCCAGGAATACCACAGGAATACCACACACACACACACACACACACACACACACACACACACACACGAAGCAGAAGACAACATCCTTAAAGGAACATGGCAAAATTGCAAAAAAGATGACCGAGTGATTTCATTGGTATCTTTTACCTCAAACTTCTAAAAACATCCATCTCTAGTATAATTTCCTTCACAGTGAAATTAATTTCTCTCCTTAGGAACTTTAGAAGATGGGAAAGGCTTTAGGATGAAAATGCCACCAATTCTATTCTGGTACACTTAATATTCAACTAAAATCTAAGTCCATAAAACTTCCACTGAGTAGTGGGAGTTCTCTACTCATGAGACATAAGTAAACACAACCTAAACTCTGCCCTCCATGCTAGTCTTCAAAGGTATAAAAAGGGTATATTCTCGATTTTCATATTCATGATCCATTAACTCTCCAAGTTTTTAAGACATTAATACTAGCCACTCTTCCCAGGGTTTTCCATGATTTTCATTCCCCTCTTAAAACATGGCTCTGAATGACAGATGTCCTTCAAGTGTTTATGAAGTCACTGCTGTTTACTATCCAAACATACTTCTAACTCCTGTTTTCTTTGCCCACTAAAAGCAACTCCTGATAAAAATTTCTGATAATGCCAACAATTTAATCTCCCAATATCTCAAAGCATCAGAGTTAGACATTAAACCATTCTATTTGCTGGGGGCATGAGGAGAAATGAAACTTCCTGTCTCTGTAACTCCTGAATTTGAGCTTATCTGTTTGAGAATACCATACTTGCACTCACAGCATGATCTGACAACAATTACAAAATCATAAACAACAAAGAAAACTGAAGATACCAGGACCCTATGTTCACCAAAACAACATGCAATAGTCTATTTCTAGAGTCCTTTAGGGAGAAAAATAAACTCATTTTTTAAACACATAGTGTGTTAGTCACAGACAAAATAGCCTCACAGTAAATAGCCTCATCAGTAAGAACAGTGCCTCATATATGGAGTATTTTGCAGCCATGTCTACTGACATGGCTACTGACCCATGCACTATGGACCCAAAGGTATGTCAATCCAATTCTCTCTTAGGTATACACAAGTAGTGATAGTGGAACCTGTTAATCTCTGATGGGTATATACACCAAAACATGATATAACTCTGAAGATGGAGAAAAACAGATAGAATGAATCTGCTTCCAGAGGAAAAAAAGATAGAGATGAGCAAAGAGTATTAAATGAGAAACAATACGGGCTGTGAGAGATGAAGAAAACAAACTGGTCTTCAAAACTTTTCCATACGGCTTTGAAGTGCAGGTTTCCTTTTGATCAAGACAAACTTCCAAGAATAAATCTTGGCACAGACCAAAATGTTTTTAAAAGAGACCCAAAAACACAACAAATCAAAGAAAGGTTGGGCATATGGGATTACATGAAATTGCAGAACTTCTGCATGGCAAAGGACATAGCAAGAGCAATAGAAAGCCCACCGATTGGGAAAAGATTTTCACTAGCCATACAACGGACAAGGGTCACATATCTAAAATACAACTTGAACTCAAAAAAATTTAATTTCCCAACAACAAATCCTCAAAGAAACAACTGCCCAATAAATAAGTGGCTAAAGACTTAAAGAGAAACTTCTCTGAAGAGGAAAGAAGGATGGCCAATGGACACATGAAGAAATGTTCAACCTCCCTAGCCATAAAAGAAATGCAAATCAAAACAACATTGTGATACCACACACCCTTGTTAGAATGGCTAGAATCAAGAACTCTTATAACAACAGATGTTGGAGGGGATGTGGACAGAAGGGAGCTCTTCTGAATTGTTGGTGGGAGTATAAACTTGTTCAACCACTTTGGAATGTAGTATGGTGGTTCCTCAAAAGACTCTACATAGAGTTTCCCTATGACCCAGCAATCCCTCTTTTGGGCATTTACCCAAGCGATCACAAACAAGACCATACTAAAGCTACAAGCACGACTATGTATACTGCAGCATTATTTATCATAGCTAAGATATGGAACCAACCCAGATGCCCCTCAGTAGATGAATGGATCAAGAAAATATATACATATATACACAATGGAATTCTATGCCTCCATCAGAAAGAATGACATTGCCCCATTTGTTATGAAATGGAGAGTTGGACAAAATTATATGAAATGAAGTAAGCCAGGCCCAAATAAACATAGGTCCCATGATTTCCCTTATTTGCAATAACTAGTATATGTCTAAGACAAGCAGAAATGGTAAGAAAAGTTGATGGTAGGTGAAATGATCCCCAAGATAAGGACACAATTTTTTTTCTTTCATTCAATTGTTTCTAACATATTTATAAGATGATTTCTTTGTTGCTTTGTATGTCCCTCCCCCACGGTATAACCTCTGATTTCACTGTATTTGATGTTGGTATAATTTGTGGAGGGGAAGGAAAAAAAACAAATATTTTAAATAGGGATACAGTTGGACCTATTGCAACAATGTCAAAAAACGAACTTTACAACTTTGGCACGGTGTGTGAAATGTACTCATTACCTTGTCCATGTAATTGTAACACCTCTGTATGGTATTTTCACTATATATATATATATATAAACCCTCACCTTCATAAAAACCCAAATGCAAAAAAAAAAAGAGAAAAGGCTAGAATGTACCTCAGCTCAATGGCAAAACACTTGCCTACCAAGTGCAACATCCTGGGTTCAATGCTTAGTATCAAAAAAAAAAGGTAGGAAATCAAACAAACAAAAAACAAAAGGCAAAAAAATAGCCCTAAATAAACAAAAATCTTTTTTGGTCCTGTCAGTTTTAAATTCAGCCAACCGTGGTTGCCATATAAAGTGCTAAGTAATTCTTATATTCAGCATATATGGCAATATAATTTTATTACACAGCAGTCCTTGAAATTACTTCAGATGCAGAGTAGAGAGATATGAACAGTTACAAGACACAGATCTCTAACTGGCAGCTGGATTCACAAGGCAACCCACCACAGCTGTAGGATGTCCCCATGTCCTTAATATCAAAAATGCACAAGCTAGCTACTGAATCCAAAGTATCCTAGGACTTAATGTTTCTCTATACTGACCTTCAGCAGCTTGACTTCAGCTGAAATCTCACTGGGACTAGGAATCCCAAGGGAAGACTCTGTCGTTTCAATGATGTTTGAAGTATCTTGTCCTAGAGAAAAATTAAATTTGTTGCTCTTTATTACCCAAACTTACCAAGCTAAATTCTAAAAACGAAATATCAAAGTGTGTATATCTAAAATCATGAATGCTATAAGACAGGTTATTTTTAACAATTGGGGTAATTATTCCTTGAGAATATCTCCTTAGTATAACATTTTTTAAACAAAACCCTGATATATCATCACTAAAGAACGGACATTTATAGCAATTCCTAGACTTCATTCTAATAAGAAAATGCTACCAATTCTACTAGCAGTGTCTATCATCTCATGATTACTTTTCTTCAAACAATAAACCCTTGAACAAATGTGGAAGGAGAATTATTAACTAAGTCCTTTGTAACACAAATCTGTAAAACGCACACAGACAGTAATGAAATGACTGATGATTTTAGCCACTGTGGCCACTGTGGCTGAGGAGAACAAGGACTTGCCCCGGGGGCCCCAATATTTCCATCTGGCCTGGGGTATATCTTTGGAAAGTTTCCTATTGTCCCAGTAAATGGGGGGGAGGGACGACACAAGAAAGTGTGAAAAATTAGACAGCCAGAGTACAATATACATAAGTTATCTAATTATTAGCTAAAGTATGGGAACCTAATAATATTTGCTTAATGCAATGCTTGACTGATAGACAGTTGTCTGTGTTTATTATGTAGGCACCATGCAGCAAAGGAAATTACTGCTGATGGCATTTATAGAACTGAAAAACTAATATTTATGGTTGTAAAAATAAGAAAAGAAATGTAAACTTAAATTAGCATTGAGCTTGAATCTGTCTTTTTTATTGTGAAAATACTGTACAGAGGGTTTAAAATTATATGGGCAAGATAATGAGTACATTTCTTATCAAGCATTGTAGCCGCCTCCTTAGTTTCCCCTTCCCATCCCTTCCCATCCTCCCCCCCGCCCCCCCACCCAGTTTTCCCTGCCCCCCCACCAAAGTTGTAAAGTTCGTTTTCGACATAATGACTTGTACATCTCATTGTTGCAATGGGTCCAGCTGTATCCCTATTTAAACGATTTGTTTTTCTCATTGTACCAGGGCTTCACACATTTGGCTTGCTTGCTCATGGCTGGCACTCTACCACTTGAGCCATACCTCTAGTGTAGCACTTTGCTGGCATTTAGTTGGAGATGGAATCTGCATTCATCTGGACCTAAGCATCCTCAGTAGCTAAGATTACAGGTGTGAGCCAGGGGTACCTGGTAAACTCTAATATTTTTTTTATTTCATTTTTATTTTTTATTTTATTTGTGAAAATACTGTACAGAGGGGTTACAATTGCATGGGCAGGATAATGCGTACATTTCTTACCAAGCATTGCAGCCTCCGCCTTTGTTTATCCTTCACATCACTTCCCAGCCTCCCCCCTCCCCCCCATCCCAATCCTTCTCCTTCCCCCCTCCCCCCTCCCCCCCCACCGACGTTGTAAAGTTCGTTTTGGACATGACAACTAGTACTTCTCATTGTTGCATCAGGTCCACCTGTATCCTTAAACAACTGGTTTTTCCCCATCTCCTCCTCAAGTTATACTGACATCAAATATATTGAAAGCAGGGGTTATACTGTGGGGGAGGGACATACAAAGCAACAAAGAGATAATCTTATAAATTCGTTAGAAACACATGCATGAAAGAAAAAACATTAAAATACATATCTAAGGGTTCATTTTCCTGACATCACATTGTCTGACCTTTTCCGCTTGACTCATACATATACTAGATATTGCAAATAAGGGAAACCATGGGACCTATGTTTCTTTGGGCTTGGCTTACTTCACTTAATGTAATTTTTTCCAAGTTTTTCCATTTCCTAACAAATGGGGCAATGTCATTCTTTCTGATGGAGGCATAGAATTCCATTGTGTATATATACCACATTTTCTTGATCCATTCATCTACTGAGGGGCATCTGGGTTGGTTCCATATCTTAGCTATGGTAAATAATGCTGCAATAAACATAGTTGTGCTGGTAGCTTTAGTGTGGTCTTGTTTGAAAGCATTTGGGTAAATGCCCAAAAGTGGGATTGCTGGGTCGTAGGGGAGTTCTATGTGAAGTTTTTGAGGAACCTCCATACTGCTTTCCAAAGTGGTTGGACTAGTTTACATTCCCACGAACAATGCAGTAAGGTTCCCTTCTGTCCACATCCCTTCCAGCATCTGTTGTTATTAGAGTTTTTGATTTTTGCAGTTCTATCTGGGGTGAGGTGATATCTCAATGTTGTTTTGATTTGCATTTCTTTTATGGCTAGGGATGTTGAACATTTCTTCATGTGTCTATTGGCCATCCTTCTTTCTTCTTCAGAGAAGTTTCTCTTTAAGTCTTTCGCCCACTTATTTATTGGGCATGTGTTTCTTTGAGGATTTGTTGTTGGGGGGTTTAATTTTTTGTGTTCCAAGTGTATTTTAGATATGACACCCTTGTCCGTTGTATGGCTAGTAAAGATCTCCCAATCCGTGGGCTTTCTATTGATCTTCCTAGCTATGTCATTTGCCCTGCAGAAGCTCTGCAACTTTATGCAATCCCATTTGTCCAACCTTTCTTTGATTTGTTGTGTTTCTGGGTCTCGATTCAAAAAATTTCGGCCTGAGCCAAGGAGACCTAGGGTTTCTCCTATTCCATCCTGTAATGTTTTCAGGGTGTCTGCTTTGACTTCAAGGTCTTTGATCCATTTGGAGTTGATTCTGGTGCAGGGTGATATATAAGGATCTAGCTTTAGTTTTCTACATGTAGTTAACCAATTTTGCCAGCACCATTTACTGAAGAGGCTGTCTTTCTTCCATTCTATTGTTTTAGCTCCCTTATCGAAGATTACATGGCTATAGGTCTGTAGGTTCATTTCTGGGTTTTCAATTCTATTCCATTGGTCCTGAGGTCTGTTCTTGTGCCAGTACCAAGCTGTTTTGATTACTATGGCTTTATGGTAGAGTTTGAAATTTGGTGTTGATATTCCTCCAGCAGTGTTCTTTCCATTGAGGAGCCTTTTTGCTATTCGGAGTCTTTTATTGTTCCATATGAATTTTTGGATTGCCTCTTCTATTTCCTTGAAGAATGAGGTTGGAATTTTGATAGGTATTGCGTTGAATTTGTAGATAGCCTTGGGAAGTATTGCCATTTTCACGATGTTAATCTTTCCAATCCAGGAGTATGGGAGGCTTTGCCACTTTTTTAGTTCTGTGTTGATTTCCTTTTTCAAGATTTTAAATTTTTCATCATAGAGGTCCTTCACTTCTTTAGTTAAGTTAATTCCTAGGTATTATATTTTTTGTGGGGCTATTACAAATGGAGTTGCTTTCCTAATTTCAGCCACACTTTTCTCGGTATTGGCATACAGAAAAGCCATTGATTTTGGGGGGTTAATTTTATAACCTGCTACTTTGCCAAAGTTTTGATTCAGCTTGAGTAATTTGGGAGTGGAGTCTATGGGATTTTTAAATATAAGATCATGACATCTGCAAAGAGGGAGAGTTTTATTTCTTCTTTCCCTATTTGGATCCCCTTTATGTCTGCATCTTGTCTTATTGCTGTAGCTAGGCATTCTAATACTAGATTGAAGAGGAGTGGAGAGAGTGGGCATCCTTGTCTTGTTCCTGAGTTAAGAGGAAATGGCTTTAGTTTTTCACCATTGAGTATAATGCTGGCTGTAGGTTTGTCATATACAGCCTTTATTGTATTGAGGAATGTTCCATGGATTCCTAATTTTTCCAAAACCTTCATCATGAAGGGGTGATGGATCTTGTCAAATGCTTTTTCTGCATCTATTGAGATAACCATGTGGTTCTTATCCTTGCTCCTGTTGATGTGATGAATCATATTAATTGATTTGCGTATATTGAACCAGCTTTGCATCCCTGAAATGAATCCTGTTTGATCATGGTGTATGATTTTTTGGATGAATTGTTTAAGTCGATTGGCCAAAATTTTGTTGAGAAGTTTTGCATCAATATTCATCAAAGAGATGGGTCTATAGTTCTCTTTCTTTGATGAGTCTCTGCCTGGTTTTGGGATGAGGGTTATGGTGGCTTCATAGAACGTGTTCGGTAGTGAGCTTTCTCTTTCAATTTCATTGAAGAGTTGGAGGAGTATTGGTGTGAGCTCTGTTTTGAAGGTCTTGTAAAATTCTGCTGTAAAACCATCTGGTCCTGGACTTTTCTTAGCTGGGAGGTCTCTTATTGCTGTTTCTATTTCAGTGCTTGATATGGGCCTGTTAAGATAGTTTACCTCATCTTGGTTTAGTTTTGGCATGTCAATATTTGCTAGGAAAAGGTCCATTTCTGTCAAGTTCTCAAACTTATTAGCATAAAGTTTTCAGAAGTATTCCCTTATAATGTTCTGAATCTTGGTTGTTTCCGTGGTGATGTTTCCATTCTCATCTCTGAGTTTATTAATTTCGGTGTGTTCTCTTCTTTTTCTGATAAGATTTGCTAAGGGTCTGTCAATTTTGTTAAGTTTTTCAAAGAACCAACTCATTGTTTTGTTGATTCTTTCTATAGTTTTTTTGGATTCTAATTCATTTAATTCTGATTTAATTTTGATTATTTCTTTCCGTCTACTGGCTTGGGGTTTATCTTGCTGCTCTTTTTCAGGGAAGTTTAGATGTGTCATTAAATTGTTAGTTTCAGATCTCTCCAATTTGTTGATGTAGGAGTTCAGAGCTATAAACTTGCCTCTGAGTACTGCCTTTGCTGTGTCCCAGAGGAGCTGGTAATTTGTGTGCTCCTTTTTGTTGAATAGCATGAACATATGAATTTCCTTTCTAATCTCTTCCATGACCCACTCATGATTCAGCAGTGTGTTGTTCAGCCTCCATGTGATGCCGGACTTTCTTTGGTGGCTTTTGGTGTTGAGTTCTAATTTTATTCCCTTGTGGTCAGAGAGAATGCAAGGTATAACTTCAATGTTTCTGAATTTAGACAAGTTTGCTTTGTGGCCTAAAATGTGGTCTATTTTAGAAAACGTTCCATGTGCTGCTGAGAAAAACGTGTATTCTGATGCTGCTGGGTGAAATGTTTGGTAGATGTCTGTTAAGTCTAGTTGATCTATGCAGCTGTTTAGATCTGCGGTTTCTCTGTTGAGTTTTTGCCGAGTTGATCTATCTCGTGGGGAGAGTGGTGTGTTAAAATCCCCCAAAATTAATGTCTTTGGATCTATTAAACTCTAATATTTTTAAATCCCAATATTTTAATAGAGATTCTAGCTGGGCACCAGTGGCTTCATGCCTGTAATCCTAGCTACTCAGGAGGCTGAGGTCTGAGGATCACGGCTTAATGCTAGCCAGGGCAGGAAAGTCCATGAGACTCTTACCTACAATAAACCATTAGTGGTACTGTGGCTCAAGTGGTAGAGTGCTCACCTTGAGCTGAAGAACACAGAGATAGTGCCCAAGCCCAGAACTCAAGCCCCACAACCCACAAAAAAAATAGAGATTCTGTGATACCTGAAAAGGGAGAACTTCTGAAGTCTCAGGCTCCCTGGAAGACCCAACTTCTGGTTTTTTCAACTGGACACTACAGCTTCCATTAAGTCTCTTGATTGGTATGTTGGTCAACAGATTCAGTATTCTTCACAGACTCAGAATTCTCCACTGACTCACAGTTTCTTTCTTCAAGGATAGGACTTGCTTCAGTTATCACTGGAGTCTCAGGATCATCTTTATCAGAAAGTCCAAGGGAAAAAGTGATTGAGGTCAGCTTTTTTAGTATAAATTATTTGTCTAAATCTTTTGACACTTTCGCAGAGTCACAGGCAGGAACATTAGTAAATTAATACAGACAAGATCCCACAGATCTTCCCCCAGGTTCTCCTAGTAACAGCTTTCATAACTGAAGCATAATTCATTGTGGCAGAATCCACCAATCTTCAGCTTTCAACATATTTCAACTGAAATTCTGTCACTTAAAGAAGTATAGATGGAATTACATAGCATGTCACTTGTTAAGAATTTTTACACAGCATTTAATTCCCTCCAGACCCACTTGTATTAAGACTTTTTTTTACTGTTTCTGAATAGTCCATGGTATAAATGTACTTTGGGACTATCACAGAAATAAAATTATTCAGAAAGCTTATGTACAGGTGTTTATGGGAATGAAAGCTTTCTCTGGGAAAAATGCCTGCTCAGTTAAATTTTAAATGTTACTGTTAGGCTGGGCATGTACCTGAGTAGTAGCCTAGCATGCATGAAGCCCTTTGTTTGATTACTCAGTACCACATGCACAGAAACTGTCACTGTGGGTCAAGTGGTAGAGCGCTAGCCTTGAGCTAACAAGAAGATCAGGGATAGTGCCATGGGACTGAGTTCAAGCCACAGGACTGTCCAAAAACAAGGTATTGTTCTATTCTTTTCCCAAGTAAAATATCATTTTACTTTCCTAGTGGCAATGTATGAATAATCAAGTTCACTTGAATTCTGATCAATCTTGTGTTGTCACTATTTGATTGAGCCATTCAGATAGGTATGTAGGGGTACCACACTGTGCCTTTTAAGTTGCATTTCTCTAAGGGCTGGGACCAAGGCATCCTTTTATGTGCTTATTTGCTGAATATATACTCTTCAGGGAAACGTTTATTTGTATCTTTTGGTCATTATCGAATCATTCTGGTTTGGTTTTTATCATTATGTACTACAGAGATTTGAGAACACTGTATTTTGGAGATTTAACTCCTCTACTATGTGGTTTGCAAATATTTCATGCTAGTTTATAGTTTATCTTTTTCCTGTCTTCCTAGGGTCTTTCCCTGAGCAAGTTTTTCATTGTGAGGAGGTTCACTATCTATTTCCCCTTTTACTGACTATCCTATAAAATCTTTAGTAATCACTTACTACTAAAACTCTTCCAGAGATTTAATCTATCCAAAAACATTTCTGTCAGAACAGTTTTTTAGGGTTTTGTTTCCTATTTGTAGTGGTGGCCCTAGTGATTAAAAGATGTCTCTAATCCTTTTGCTTTTGTTTTTTAGATAGGGTTTCCTAATTTGCACAGATGAGCCTCAGACCACGAATTTCTTACACTGCCTCTCAAGTACCTAAGATTACAGACATAACTACCATGCTTGCTATCTCTGAAACACTAACTTTTTGTTTGGTATGCTCTTAAACCATAATCCTCCTATCTCCTTCTCTGGAATATCTAGGATTATAAGTATGAAACACTTTCTGGGCATTTTGCTATTATTAAAAATATTCATCATAAATATACCAAAATTCTGTTAGTATTGGAACATTTGATGTTACGAAAGAGATGACGCCAGAATATCCCACATCCACAAATCAGCCAAAGACAAATGCTGGAGGGGATGTGGAGAAAGAGGAACCCTATTACACTGCTGGTGGGAATGTACACTTATACAACCACTTTAGAAAGCAGTCTGGAGGGTCCTTATAAAGCTAAAGATTGACCTCCCTTACGGCCCAGTCATACCACTTTAGGCTTCTACCCTGAACAACAGGAACCAATATATAAGGACATGTGCACCTCCATGCTTATTGCAGCACTGTTCACAATAGCTAGGATATGGAAACAACCCAGATGCCCCACCACAGAGGAATGGATCCAAAAATTGTGGTATCTATACACAATGGAATATTATGCAGCCATTAGAAATAACAAAATAATGGCATTTGCAGGGAAATGGATGGAGCTAGAAGGAATCATGTTGAGCGAGGTAAGCCAAGAGCAAAGAGACAAACAACACATGGTCTCCCTGATAAGTGGATGCTAAATCCAAAATGTTAGGTGATATGACAAAATTAACAGGAATTAAGAAACAAAGAACTCTCACTCATCTGGTTGAACCACTACTAAATATCCCCATGCTGCTGATCACATGTATGGTGTATATGTGTACACCGTTATATGTTATAGACTGTGATAGACAATTTGCTCCAGGAAAGTAAGAATGAACTTGTGACTTTAAATGAGCATCATTATTCCACAATACTGTGAAATTTTGGAAATTATGTAATCATTTAATCACAATTTAAAAAAAAGAACCTCGGGGGAGGTAGGGAGGGAAGGAATGTTAGGGGGAAAACAATGGAGGGGTTAACAATGCTCAATAGAAAGTGTACCCATTACCTTGCTCATGTAACTGTAACCCTCTGTATAGTATCTTTACTATAAAAATTAAAAAAAGAGATGATGAGTGACTTATATTTCATACTTACTTATGTTTTTTTTTTACAGTGTGAGCAGTAGAATTCAGGACCCCACACATACCAGGGAAGAGCTCCACCATTTGGCTATATCCATTGACCTCCTACTTCAACATTATTTTTGCCAGTTCTGGGACTAGAACTCAAGGCCTGGCCACTGTCCTGGAGCTTTTTTTGCTCAAGGCTAGCACTCTAACACTTGAGAGCCACAGCCCACTTCTGGCTTTTTCTGTGTATGTGGTACTGAGGAATTGAACAATGGGCTTCATGCATGGTAGGCAAGCACTCTATTACTAAGCCACATTCCCAGCACCTCAAATCAACTTTTGAGCTGCAATTCAAATACCCAATCTAATTCCTTCCAGAAGAGCTCTTTGGGAATTAAATCAATATCATATTGGCCCTTCAACAAAGAGAAGGAGAACCAAATAGCTTGAGAGAATTAATATATTTCTGCCCTTTCCTTCACCCTCTTCTTTTTTGCTCTCTCTCATTTTATTTCACCCTCCTTCACCCATACACACAGGTATGTATAAACCTATTCTATAGAGACATGGACTACATGCAGGAAAGAGCCAATATATGATATCAAATGTTTCAAATAGATTTTATTTGTTTTTTTATGTTTTTGTTTTTTGGTCCAGTCATGGGGCCTGAACTCTGGGCCTGGGCGTTGTCCCTCAGCTCTTCAGCTCAAGGCTAGCACTCTACCACTTGAGCCACAGCACCACTTCCGGCTTTTTACTTTTTCCTTATGTGGTGCTGAGGATTGAACTCAGGGCCTCAGGCATGCAAGGCAAGCGCTCTACCACAGAGCAACCTTCCTAGCCCTCAAATAGATTTTAAAAACATACTAGCAACTAATAAGGTAGAAAGACCAGCACACTACTATAATTAAGATATACACCAAAAATGCTAACAGAAAGGAAAACATACATTTTGAATCAGAAGACATGATTCATACACAAAGTACCAAACAAAAGTCTAGAGCTTGGAGTGTCAAACCTAGCCTAGATATGTTTTTAATTTATCTATATAGTGTCTAAACTTTTAAATGAGTTCCATGTTTAAAAACTAGTCTTCATAAGCCAGGCCCAAAGAAACATAGGTCCCACAGTTTTCCTTATTTGCAATATCTAGTATATGTCTGAGTCAAGCAGAAAAGGTCAGATAAGGTGATGTTAGGGAAATGAACCCTAAGATATATATTCAAATGCTTTTTTTCTTTCATGTGATTGTTTCTAACACATTTATAAGATTATTTCATTGTTGCTTTGTATGTCCCTCCCCCACAGTATAACCCCTGCTTTCACTGTATTTAGTGTCAGTATAATTTGTGGAGGGAAAGGGAAAAACAAATCATTTAAATAAGGATACAGGTGGACCAATTGCAACAATGAGATGTACAAGTCATCATGTCGAAAATGAACTTTTGTGGGGGGCGGGGAGGATGGGGGGACAGAAGGGAGGATGAAATGGGTGGGAAGGGGAAACAAAGGAGGAGGCTACAATGCTTGATAAGAAATGTACTCATTATCGTGCCCATGTAATTGTAACCCCTCTGTACAGTACTTTCATAATAAAAAAAAAGAAGAAGAAAAACAAAGGAGGAGGTAACATTGCTCGATAGGAAATGGACTCATTACTTGTTCATGTAACTGTAACCCCTCTGTACAGTATCTTTACAATAAAAAATATATACAAAAAAACCAGTCTTCATACAAATGTGCAAGTGTCCAATTTCCCTTGAAAACTGGAAACAAAGCCTCTATACTGACTGGTTAATAACTACCTCGTGCCAAATGGTCCTTGCAGGCAACTGGTCCTTTCAGGCAACGCTCCTGCACCTCAAAACTGGCACTCGAATTCAATTCACTCATCTGCCATGAGAGGTACATAGGATTATGATAGGTGAAAATGCCAGAGAAAGAGTTCAAAGGTATAAAAACAATCCATGAGCCAGAGAAAGAGTTCAAAGGTATAAAAACAATCCATGAGAAAGCTCAAAGTTATATAAAACAATCACAAGGCATGAAACCAGAAAGCAACTTTAAGACACCTTGGAGCTAAGCTGTATGTATACATGTGTGTGTGTGTGTGTGTGTGTGTGTGTGTGTGTGTGTTGTATAATATGTGTAATTCATGCACGATATGTAATACATACAAAATATATCATTGTAGAAATGTAATTCATGTAACTTCATATAAGATTAGGACATACTCTGAAATAGGAAACAATGGTAATCTCTATTTTTTGGTCATCACCATCTAAATTTGAATCTACATGATTTAAAGATCATCTAGAGGCGCTGGGAAGGTGGATCAGTAGTAGAGTGCTTGCCTTGCATGCACGATGCCCTGGGTTTGATTCCTCAGCACCACATATGCAGAAAAATCTGGAAGTGGCACTGTGGCTCAATTGGTAGAGTGCTAGCCCTACGCTGAAGAGCTGAGGGACAGTGCGCAGGCCCAGATTTCAGGCCCCAGGACCGACCAAAAAATCATCTAGAATGTTCTAGACGGGAAGACTATGAGTTTATATTGTTTATGCTGTTAATATTATTAGTAGAAGGAATGTAGATACTCTACTCTCAATGAATTCATCATCTCACAGCAAACATAAATGAATAACAGGTAGGTGAAAGTGAAATTGCATTATTTAATGGTTTCCTAAGTTTTCTGGGTATTTTATGATGAATTGGAAGAGAATACACCAGTGAACTAAGAAAAAAATAAGCTGAAGGGATTCATATTTTTAAGGAACCAAAATGCATATGCTTGTGTCTATCACACCTACCACACACCCTCAGGCCACCTTTTCCTTCATTTTCTCTTCTCAGCAATCAAGGCTACCAGCACCTACTCTGGGACTTACCTTGCTCCTGCCGACCACAACTTGGGGAGTACCATGCACCCAGCCAGCACCATAGCCACTGCTGACACCTCCAAACCATGCTCCCAATGCCTGGGGAATACTTCCCCCTGCTGGGTGGGTCTGGCCGCGTGTACTTCTTGGTCCTGCTTCTTCTTAGATCTGATGCGGCTGGGGTCTGGTTTCTTGAGTTTGGGCACCAACCAGTGGTTTAAAGATTGGCTGACCATAGTCATTGGAGTGATGTTGGCTTGGAAAAGGAGACTGCCTTTGTGTTTTTGAAGATCTGACCATCCGAGAGGTACTGAGTGCCAAATACCCTCCCACATTATCCCAAGGTCAGGGGTCACCCAAGCCACTGACTTGGCAAGGCCCAAATGGGCAGAACAGGGCTGTCCAGGCCAGTAGCAAAGTGTTTGAGAGGACGCTTAGTTATATGAATGGGGCAGGAAAAGGGAGGGAGGACTAACTAGCAAATGCAAAGGCCTTAACAAATTTTAGCAATCCAAGAAAAGAAAAAAAAAGCTGCAAAAAAAGGGAGGCCAAGTAAATTGGAATGTGGCTTAGTGGTAGAGTGCTTGTCTAGCATGCATGAAGCCCTGGGTTTGATTCCTCTGTGCCACATACACAGAAAAAGCCAAATGTGATGCTGTGGCTCAAGTGGTAGAGTATGTTCCTTGAGTAAATGAAGCACAGGGACAGTGCCCAGACCCTGAGTTTAAGCCCTAGGACTGGCACAAAAAAATGGGGGTGGGGGTTGCACAAAGATAAGATGAGGTCTGGGATTTGGACACCATGTCTTGTCAGGCTTATGAGATGGGATGAAGTTTTCTTTTTATTTTCTGTGTGTGTGTGTGTGTTTGTGTGTGTGTGTGTGTGTGTGTGTGTGTGTGCGTGCGCGCGTGTATGCATATGTGTGGTTAAATGATGATGAATCTCAGATTTTCCTGCCCAAGCTTGTCTCGAACTATGATCCCTAAACCTTAGGCTCCTGAGTAGCTAGGATTGTAGGCATTAGCAACCTGCACCCAGCTCAGGATAGTTTTAACTCTTAATATGGAACTTAATGGGAAATGGCAGTAGGTTTCTAAGCAGAAGTGTAAGATGCTTTGATTTGTGGTTTTTAGAATGACCCCCGACCCTTCCCTCATCAAAAGATGCATCTCATTATTTATCCTTCAGCAGTGTAAATGTGTGAAGTCTGGACTTGTGGAGCTAGAAAGGCATAAGGTTATAAATATAAGAAAAATGGAACTTTTCTGAGGTAAAGAGAATTGTATTTTTTTTTGTCAGTCATGGGGCTTGAACTCTGGGCCTGGGTGCTGTCCCTCAGCTCTTCAGCTCAAGGCGAGCACTCTACAATTTGAGATATATAGCCAGTTCCAGTTTTCTGGTGGTTTGCTGGAGATAAGAGTTTCATGGACTTTCCTGCCCGGGCTGGCTTTGAACCATGATCCTGAGATCTCAGCCTCCTGAGTAGCTAGGTTTATAGGCGTAAGCCACTGGCACCCGGTGAGAATTGGATTATCTAAGAATCCAAACATGTGGCTAGGTATGAAACTCAGTGGTTACATATCTTGCCTAGCATGTGCTAGACAGAAAGAGAGCACAGAGAAAAAAGAAAAAAAAGAAAAAGGGAGACAAGAGAGGAGAAAAAGAGAATCCATGTTTTCTACTGCTTCAGTGTTTTCAGAAGAGCCATCATAAGAAATAAACCTTCCCCAGAAATTTTGTTTACTTTTATGTTTTTGTTTCTGTCAGGTGAGGAAATTGAACCCAGGCTGGTTATTTAGGGATAAATCTCCGATTTGTCTGCCTGGGCTGGCTTCAAATCTGGATCCTCAGATCTCAACTTCCTTAGGTAGTTAGGACCATAGGCTTGACCACTCTAGCTCTGGCCTCTTATCCTGCTGTTTCATCTAGTAGCTGCTACCTTCCTCTTACCTCATTTCTGAGGCTTGAACCCATGGCCTGGGAATTGCTTTTGAGCTTTTTTGTTCTAGCCTAGGGCCCAGCCACTTGAACAACAGCTCCACTTCCAGCTATGTGTGTGTTTGTGTGTGTGTGTGTGTGTGTGTGATTGAAGATAAGAGTCTCACAGGTGAAAAGCTATTTAAAGAGAACAGTAAAACAAATGTAGTTAAACCATTGTGTCAGAACAGGAGCTCAAAAGATCATACAATTTAAGTAAAGAAAGGGATTATAATGATAATCAGCATCCAAATCAGAAAACTAACACTACTGGAGCACATCAGCCCTAATTAGTGACTTAGGTGCAGGTGCCTCCAAAGACTCCACCAGACTTCTAAATCCATGTCAACAAGTATGTTTGTGCCCTCTTGCAGTACTCTGGTTCCTTATCATTATGTCACCTTAATCTCCTGAAGAATCTTGGGGCTAAACTGGAACTTTTAAAATTTCATGTGTGTGTATGTATATTGCACATACACCTATAATAAGACTTAAACTAAGGGCCTCCCACTCTACCTTGGAGTTTGGTACTTAACCACTTGTTCCATACCTCAACTTTTAGCTTTTTACTGGTTAATTGGAGCTAAAAGTCTAACGGACTTTCCTGCTCAAGGTAGCTCAGAACCATGATCCTCAGATCTCAGCCTCCTGAGTCGCTAGGATTACAGGTGTGAGCACTAGTGCCAGGCTTCTAAACTAGAATATTAAGCTCATCTCATAGATAGTGAAAATCACCCATAAACTTATTCTTTATGCTGGGTTTGAATTTTGGGCCTGGCCTCTGTCCCTGATCTTCTTTTGCTCAGGGCTAGTGCTCTCCCTCAGGGGGATTTTTTTAATGTTTTTTCATTAGGTCTCGAAAACAAAATCCTCCCCTTGAAGAAAAGGTGCTGGATTTGTGGACAGAGACTATGACTTTCACCTTCCTTAGATTTAACATAGTAGCAGATAAATAAATGCTAAATGAATGCTTCTTGATATCAGTTCCATTTTATGTTGCTTCTGTTAAACCTAACTCACTTTATGAATGTCAGTTTGGAAGGAAACCATCTTGCAGGGTACTTCAAGTGCAGAAAACCTTATAGGCAAATTAACAATATCAGGCTAGGTTCTCAAACAGAAGTTGAGGTTGAAGCACAGGCACTTCATCAGCTGGGCCATTTAGACATGAGGCAGAAGATCTTGCTGGGATACCAACCTGGCCCATGTCCTTCTCAACCATAGTATCTGTTTCCCATCTGTTTCTTAAGCTAAACATGCACAGAGATACCCTTTGAAGAAAATCTCTTTGCAATTGAACTGTAGACTTGGATTATTTGCCAATTACCATATAAGAAACAGTGGCCTCATCCTGAAAAAAACTGGCAAGGATCACCTTAAGTAGGTGACCAAAGATACACCCAGGCAATGAGACATCAGAAACTGATATGAGGTACTGAGTTTTCTCATTCAGTCATAAAATTAGGCATAAAAAAAACAAACTAACTAATATCAGCCTAGCTGGGTCTCAGTGGCTCACCCATGGAACCCTAGCCACTCAGGAGGCTCAGATCTGAGGATATTGCTCCAAAGCCAGCCCAGAGAGGAAAGTCTGTGACATTCTTATCTCCAGTGAACACCAGAAAACTGGAAGTGGTGTTTTAGCTCCAAGTGGTAGAGTGATAGCCTAGAACTAGCTCAAGGATAGCAACCAGGCCTTAAGTTCAAGCCCCAGGACAAAACAAAATAAAAAAAAACACTCACCCAAGTCATACTAGGAGGCTTCCCACAAGATCAGTAGCTGCCCTTTCCAAAAGTGTCAAGCTCATGCTAAAGAAAAACATTGGAAATGTCACAGACTGGAGGAGGCAGAGGAGGTCTGACAGATCAAGGGAAAGCAGGATCCTGGATAGAGCCTGAGTGGGGGTGCCAGTTCTGAGGATTCAACTCAAGGCCTGGGTGCTGTCCCTTAGCTTTTTTGCTCAAGGCTGGCACTCTACCACTTGAGCCATAGCTTTACTTCAGGCTTTTTGATGGTTTGATGGAGAGAAGAGACTCACAGACTTTTCTGTCCAGGCTAGCTTTGAAACTCAGTCCTAAGATTTCAGCTTGCTGAAGAGTTAGGATTACAAGCATAACCCAACAGCGCCAGCTGTATTTTCTGTTTTATCTTACAATAAAAATAAAAAGATTGTGTCTAAAATAATATTTGGGAGGGAGCAGGGGAGAGTTCTGCTTCTACTATTGACTCTAGCCGTTTTTGTCTTGTGCTACAGCTGCAGGGCAGGGCACATGGGCAGAGTGTGGTTCAGGCACAGGCTCAGCCTGCCTAAAACACGGAGGTAAAAATGAGGTGTACCTAGTACTGGCAATAGCTAGTGGTCTGGTTTGGCCTTCTAGTGTAGAGAACAGAATGAAGTAAAATGAGGAAATAATAGTAGAGGGCACAGTATTTATATCACATTATGCCATGACAACATATTTGTTCTTAACCTGTAGGCAAAAGAGAAAAGATACATGCTTCTTATCAAGGATTAATACCACCTCAGCAGTCACTTCTCATTCCTCTTTACAAACAAATCCTGATTTTGTCCCATTATTCATACTGTTGGTTTCTGTGTTTACATAGGATGTCTGGTGCTGCAATAGCTAACTTGTGACGATGAACTTTAGCTGGGAGAATATACCCAATATGGTCAATTCAAAAGATGGTAGAAATATAAATATAAGAAGACAGGCTGGGTGCAGGTGGCTCATGCCTTTAATCCTAGCTACTCAGGAGGCTAAAATTTGAGGATCACGGTTCAAAGCCAGCCCAGGCAGGAAAACCTGTGAAATTTTTATCTCCAGTAAACCAGCAGAAAACCAGAAGTGGCACTGTGGCTCAAGTGGTAGAGTGCTAGCCTTGAGCTGAGTTGCTAAGGGACATTGCCCAGGCCCAGAGTTCAAGCCCCATGACCAACAAAAAAGAAAAAAGAAAAAAAAAGAAGACAGTACTGAGCCACTGAATTAATGAATTCTACAGTTACCCTTGTGCCATGGTTATTATTATGTGAAATAATAAATCTTCCTATCACTGAAATGATTTGGGTCTTTTATTAATTATACCTAAAAGCAGCCAAAATTATGCATGAGTCCTAAAGGAAAATAAAAGGCACCTAGAAGTAATATGAGAAGAAAAATATAGGGAAAAATAAAAATAAAGACTAAAATGCATTAGGTGCATAGGGCCCTAAAAAATTCTCCCAGGTCGGCAGAAACTCGCCTGGAGTTTCAGAAG